GCCTCAGCGATTTGGACGGTATCCGTGCCCACTGGCAGCCCCCGGATGCCCACTTTAGTGGGCTTCTCCTCCGCCGGGGTGTAGCAGTACCACGACAACGCTGGTACTTTCTGGGTGAGCTCGATGAGGTATCTTTGTATTGCCCGGAATTCTTCCGGGCTCCGTGGGGTGAACGATTTACATGAAAATCAGTCTAACGGGGTATCAAAAAGGCTATACTCGAAAGAGAGCCGCGCCCTCTATGGAATTTCGCAACTTAATTACATCAATTTGTACTATCACTCCCGCACGGTTTGCTCAATATCTTTATTTGTATAAGACATACATTTATACATTTTATTTATAAAGATAGCACAAAAAATATCTATACTACGATATACATTACATTTTCATATCACAAAAAACCTTTTATTTATTCAACAAAATATGCCTATTTTACAACATATGCACTAAGTTAGAATTCTTAAATATGTAACATATAAGGCTGAAACTATGTTCTTTATTTGAAAATAGAAATATCTTAACTAATACAATAGTTTAATTTACATTTTTCCTATATATTTTACCATTTAAAACACTTTTAAACTTTTTATACAAAACTATCAATATTTCACTATTCTATAGGAATTTATACATGAAAACAACACAGAATTCATCTATTTTGCTCATACAGTCAACCTGAAACATTTTACAAGTCAATTTTACATAAATTTCTGAAATTTACAGACATTTAAATTTCTATTTGTTTAAACTTTGATTCTACAGATTAACACGCTGCTGTTATCTGCAACTAGATGAACAACCTACTTTCACCCCACACCTCGTTGTCGGTAAAGCAGGTGGCAATTTTAGCCTATTTCTCTGCTGTCCATTATCACAAGATGAGCAATCAATCCCTGCACGACCCCCATTGTCGGCAAGGTAGTATCCAATAAGAATCTCTTATCAGTTATCAAAGCTGTTATCAGTTATCATGTTCTTATCAGATAACACAAAGAAAATATTTTATGAACCAAACATTGAAAATAGATATTTTACTTTCATACAAAATGTATCAAACTTATATAATACAATGCTTATGCAATTATTTTACATTAATTCCACTTATTCACAAAGTGATCATTTCGACCGGGGAACAAATCCTGGTCTTTAACTTTATTTTAATATTTCTTTAAATTATCAATATTATTGGAAAGGTGGATTCAACCGGGGAACTGAACCCGGAAACATAACTTATATCTTAAAAATTCCCTTTATGAATTTATTAACAAAATATTACTAAGAAAAACGACAAACTAGTCCGGCCTGGGAATCGAACCCAAGACTTTCAAATTATTAATTCGACATTTCTTTAAGATTCAATTAAGTGTTTTCTTATTAGAATATTATGACTTGAAATTTTCGCTTTTAGAAGCTATTCGTAATCGGTTAACTAATAAATTGAAATGTTTTTATAGACGCGTCGCCAACACTCTGATAATATATTTTAAACTCAGTTATTGTAACTATAAACCCTAATAATTACAATATAAAAATAGTATTCAATTCAGTAATTATGATGTGCTGCATTGTTTATTGATGCTACTTATAGAACAGTGAAGTACAACATAAATATCCTAGAAACTACTTAATAAGCATAGAAGTTTTAATCATTCTAACAATATAGGTAAATTAGAAAAGAAATTGGACATGAGTGATTTACTTTTCGGAAATAACACGCCTTGTCTTCTTGTTTTCATTATTAACGGCCGCAGAGACTCCAGGATTGCGTCTGATCACCACATCTTGTGGACCGGTACATTTTGAGATGCTCTGAGGGGTGGCAGGCCTAATTTCAGACTCGGTGAGCACAGCAGTAGTGCTATTCTGTTAATAACTATTTCGATATCGAGCTTCACCTGAGTGACAAAGCTCACTTCGAAAGCAATCCCGCTTGACCTTGATTTGGAATTCTGTAAACATGCGTTACGCACTTGCGAAGTGAAGTGAGTCTCGAATCCGAGAGCAATAATCTAGTTGTGTTCGTTTTATCGATATTCTTTTCGAATTACTTTATTTTAAAATATGTGCATGATCTTTCTACCAATTCGGTATATAAATTGCTTAAATACTTTAAATATCTAATATTTGACAAAGAAATATTTATTTTTATTGAAATAAAGAAAAAAGAAACATTTGCATTGGCTCTATGTTGTTAGGATTCGTGCCTCGAAAAAAGATGTTTTTGTGTACATACAACTTGTATGTACACAAAAACATCTTGTATTGTATGATACAAGCCGATTGACGTTTAGAAGCGATTTCAAGTTATAATATAGTAAAAAGTTTGTTTTAGTGTTCCGATTACTAAAATACTGAATATACCATGAAGTAAGTAGTTATATACTTTTTATATTAATATTAGTTTCTTTGTAACTTAGCCAATCCCTACTGAAAAATTAATGATTTCGTTTTAATTATAGCCCTGTAGAAAGAGCGGCTCATCCCTCAACGGCCCAAATTCACGCACTATTAAATTTTTTGGAGATGAATCCAAGCCTTGCAAAAGGTTTTTCAAAAGTTCCCAGTGCAAGGGACACTGCCCGTAAAAGCTGGGAGAAACTGGCGTTTAAACTCAATAGTTTAGGGGGCTGTGTTAAAACCTGGAAACAATGGACTAAAGTTTGTAATTTTGTGACCAATTACTTTTACGTCATAGTAAGTATACATAGTTAATTAAATTTTAAATAAATCTGTTTTAGTACTAGGCTGATAAAAAAAGTGCTGTTAAGAAGAAGGGTGCATTACGCTTTAAAACTAGAAATAAGACTGGTGGCGGTAAAGAGGTGGTGGCGCTTTCGGAGATTGAAGAGAAAATATTAGCCTTAATGGGTGGCGAAAGTTTTGCCACTGGTGACAGGCATTTAGAAATTAATCCATTTTTTGAAGTAAATTGAATTGTTTTTACTTTAATAATATTTTATAAACTGAGACAGTTTTAATGTATTTACATATTCTTTTTTAATTTTTAGGCCCAGGCTGGAAAGAGTCCTGAAAATAGTCCCTCTTTGCTGGCTTCTACCCAGTTAATAGGCCTAAATCCATTACCGTTACCACTGGTAAGTTATTTTGGCTAACACAATGATTAAATTATCCCAACTTCTACAGTTACCATACAAAACCAATTATAGTATTATATTTTATCGATTGCTGTCTGAAATCAAATCATGTAAATTTGCATAGTAATTAAATTTTTAAAACAATACGAGTATGTGAGAAAACCTACTAATATGGTTATCATATTTGATATAGATAATGGTACCATATTAATTATTGGGGTGATTGAAAGTATTTATTAGTCCTGATATGATTTGTATAACATAATCCAAAAGGTAAAGAATTATTTATTGTACATTTAAAATACCTGAAATATTTTATGAAGTTTGTTGTTGTGTTTTTTATTATTTAACATACACATTTAACATGTAAATATGTATATAATTAAATGATTGGTGATTGATGTTTGAATGTTTTCAGGAACAGCAAACACAACACAAACACACAACACCAAGTTCTATTGGAGATTTTCCAGCTGGAAATGTTCTCATTATTATTGTTTCAGACAACACAACAGCATGCAATTGAAAGGCAGGCTATTTTATGCCTACCTGGAACATCTGGGCCATCTTCCAGGCCAAGTGTTGTTCGCATGGTGAGTAATATATTACTGATATTTAAAATTTGTTCATTACACAATTTTAACACCTAATATATCTAATTTTAGGTATCACTAAGCCCTTTACCGATGGTGGTCCAAACTCCACCCTGCACACCACCCACAGTTGGAGGTCCTGCAAGTCCTTCCCCAACTCCTTCGGGTTCAGGCAGCCACCCACATCGGCTAAGAAATGCACGTCGCCAGTTGATTGTATCTCCAGTGCATAATCATCCTCTGCTCAATACAAGTAAGTATATTTTATTACACCTCAAAGTTATGTATCGTCTTCTCATTTCACATTTTTATAATCTCTTTGCGGTAAAAGAAAAAAACGTAAAAATTGAAATTAGAACTTAAAGTGAATGAGGGCTAATAATATTTCACTCACCAGATGTCGCTAATTGTGACTGAGGTAAAGTTTTTTGTTCCACAATATTAGTTAATTGTGAAATTAGTTTTAAATAACAGTTTATCATTATCTGGAGTATTATATTAATACACAACAAAATGCTTCAGTGGTTTCATTTTTAAACATTTGCACTTTATAACTCTTTTTTTAATTTGTTTACTTTTCGTTATATTTATAGTTTGGTTTATTTATTTCTAATGTAATTAATATAAAATATAACTAATGATACTGAAAGAAACCTTAAAGTTCATATTTTCCTAAGACTTTAAGACTAATTATTTATTTTTCCCGCTGTGAAATCTGTCAAATATTATTCCTCATTGTAAAGTGGCCCACCGCCCTGGTGGCAGAAAAAGTCGTGGATGCCCTCATTGGCGTCAATAGTGATTTTGTTCGACGCTTCATTGATTAGTACTGTTTGGTATTTTATCAAAATTTGTAACTTAATAGGAATAATATATTTAAATTACCATTTATTACTGTTCTAGCAACATCAAGACTTCGCCATAATCGTCGAAGTCGTGTATCACCTCCATCTCAACGGCGATCACAATTCACAAGTTTTTCGGAGCGATTTTTGGCGATAGAAGAACAAAAACTCGAAATAAATCGCCGTAATTCGGAGCTTTTAGAAATGTTCATTAATCAAACAGTGCAGAGCATTGGAGAAGGATTTAAATTATTGCAAGAGACTTTAAAAAAATAAATATTTGTAATATTATAATTTTTATTAAAATATAGTATGGTTTTTAATCCAATGCATGTAATCGTGCTCGCCATAGCATATTAATTAGTTCTTGTCGACTAGACTGTCCTATTACAGCCTCTTGAGATATTGTTTCATTTCTAGCCCCAGCTTGTGTATGAATGACTGTGTGGAAACGTAACTCCTCTTCATCTAAACCTCCCTTTTAGCCTGCCTATAGCTCTCTCCACGGTATTACGCGCTGTGGCATGGAGTTTGTTGTAGTGTGCAGCAGGTGTACCTTCTTCTACATTAGGCACCGGTACCATCAAGTATGCTCGTTGTGCATACCCGGAATCTCCTACAATAACAATAAAAACACATTTTAATCAATTAATTTAAAGCGTCAGTAGCCTAATGGCAGGGCGCGGACCGCGTACTGGAAAGGTCGTGGGTTCGAATTCGCCATTCGACTACTGTTGTGAACCACTTCTAACACAAGCATTTTAAGCCTACCAGAAGTGGTTAAAGGGAATATTAGTAAAGTTTAATAGCATTACTAGTATTTAAAAAAAATATATTTATCCTAACTAGCTAAATCCAGTGGTTTTACCCATGTGAATATTGATATTACAATCATTATTTTGTCAGTAAAGTTGCAGCCTATTTACGTCCCACTGCTGGGCACAGGCCTCCTCTCATTTCTGAGAGGGTTTTAGGACAAGGAATTGTTCACCGCGCTGCCCTAATGCGTGTTGGCGAACTTCACATGTCTTCGAAATATTTTTTTTTCTTATTTCTCAGACATGCAGGTTTCCTCGCGATGTTTTCCTTCACCGCCGAGCACGTGGTAAATCAGCACTTAAAATTGCAATTAACAATTACATTAGTGCCGGCGGAGATCGAACCCGGGTTGCTCAAGTACTGTGAAGTTTACAGCGAGCGCTAACCATCTGAGCTATTTTATCAGGAGAGTAGTTATATATTTACCAAAGTATTTTCTTATATAAATTTTCATATTGCAAAGAAAAGGTTCTCTCCTGTATTATACTATGTACCTCTCCTGTATTATATTATGAAAGAATTGTCTGCTTTTAAACAAACTATATTTGTATAGGTACTTGTAACTTATAATGTCTACAGTACTTTTTATTTTATCTACATATTATTTTTTAGAAAAATATAGTTTGTCCAGTGAAGATAGGCCACAAGTATTATTAACTAAGGAATAAATGTACCTATAAATATACCTATTAAGAAATGTGGTAACTCACCTAGCAAATGTACAGTTTCACAAGCATTCACTAAGTGCTCAAGATGGTTCCGTATGATGCTATGATTAAAAATGAAGCTATCACGTGTTGCTCCCCCATAGACAGCATCAACATGCAATATATTTAAGTCCGCATCAGTAATCTACAAAACAAAAATAACATTATATCTTGAGTTTAAAAAAAAACACAAGTTACCTATTCTTTGTTTCCATATCTACAAAAAGAAATATTATTAGATATTATTAAAAATCTTACCAATTGAATATTTCTTGCATGATTTCCTTTACGGCAGTAATATCGCTCTTCATTTTCTGGTGGCCTAACCATGGTGACATAGGTACCATCAACACATCCTATCACCCCAGGAATTTTGTATTTCTCGAAGAATCTGTAAAGTTATGTACCTATTATTAGGCAAATATTTCAAACTTATTGGTAGGTAGGTTTAACATAAAAATATAGGTACAACAACATAATTATAATACATAATATACCTTTCCTTTAGTTTGAGCCTCTCCATGGAATTCTGTGGAAACCGTAAATATTTCCTTACAACACTAGGGTGATTTAGGGCATCAACTACCTCGCGAACACATCGGGAGACAGATGGTTGTGATACATAAGTGTTCACATTCTTTCCACAAATTCTCTGATAGCTTCCGCTAGCCAAGAATGAAAGGGCACATAATAACTGAAAAAATAATCATATTTTGTAAGAAAAAAGCTTATGGGAAGTTATAAAAAATAGTGTGCACGTAAAAAAATATATTCACCTTTATTTTAATAGACAACCCGCGACATCGCCGGCGAGGATTTTTCATAAGATGTATGATGTCTTGTAACACATTATCTATCAACGCTTCAGACAATCGATAATTTTCAACAAAGTCTTTGTGACTGTTAACTACTTGAAATCTACGAATTTCACAAGCTTGACGACGACTATCATACATATCTATGGAATATGCTTCTTCTAATAAACTCTCTAAAAAAACCAACGAGACATACCTATCGAATTATTATAATTCTTATACTGTAACACACTTAACTACGGTGGACTAATGAGTTAAAATGAACTCGCACACCAATCTCGATAGGCTCTTAGACCACTTTAAAAATGACAAATGAATTCGTTGTTATAAGTGTCGAATATCGACGAGTGAAGCGGTAAAACCTTTACAGAATACCGAATTCATACTATTAATGTCAACATTCTCACGCAATACGGTTCGTCACGTTGCCACACTCAGAAGTGTGGCGCTGCCGGCACTGTCGGGATTTAGAGAATACGAATTTGATATCTCACCGCGGATACCGCTGTCGAGACACGAAAGTGTTGTTATAGAATAGCATGGCTGAACTAGTTGAGGACCACTTTACAACTAAGCACTTAAAGTCTTCTTCTGTAAATATTTTAGCACGGCTTTTATCGGGGAGTTTAGTATAAATAGTACCGTCGAGTGACCACACATTTTTGATGCCGAAGTGTTTCCGTGACTTTATGTATATCTCTTCCCTGATCTTTGTGAGAAACTCAGTTACGGTGAATGAAGTACCTTTTAACTTGGATTTGGACCTCCAGACATCAGACTTGACTTGATATTCATGGAAATGGACAAGAACTGGCCTAACTTTGTTATTATTATTATGAGAGCCTAGCCGATGACACCTTTTTAATGAAGACCGGTCAACATTTGAGAGTCCCATTTTGTTTTGAATAAGGCCAAGAACTTCATTTTCTAAATTAACTTCAGGGGTCTCTGCAATACCATTAAACAATAACACCTTTCGCCGTTGCCTCATGTCCATTTCGTCGATAGAATTGACACATTTTGTAACCTGCTTTTGTAACAAGCTTAGCATATTACTCACTAGTTCCTTAAAAGCCTGGAATTCGTGACTGAGTTGTAACAGTGTTGGAGGGGATGGTTCCATTGCAGCTTGTAACATAACTAGTCCTTTGTGAAAAGCTAACTTTCAATTCTCTCTGCATATTGTTGTCATGGATGATATTTGCCATAATGAGCTTTGTTGTGTTAAATCCAATAGCGAAACTACACTGATTTCACTTATAATTTGCTAACCTGACAGATGATGCAAGTAATTTCTTAAGAAAACTAATTCATAAGTGCACAATTATTGAATATTGCAAATACTATGTTGCAAATAGTTATTAATAAACTGATTAAATTAGAAAACAATAATTGATATAACGTATATTAATTATAATTTCGAATAATTAATCGGAGCTCTTAAGAACAGATGTTACTTTTTTTACACCTACCGCCGAAAAAACATTATCAATGTTTCTGCCCCAGAAATTCGCTTTTCTAACGTTGGAGAGCACATGCCAGTTGATCTACCATTGTATCAACGATGTCGATATTGCAGCACTAAGATAAAGGATAAGCGGTCCAAGATCAAGTGTTGCAAATGTGCAAGTGTTCCATTGTGTATAACGCCGTGCTTCCTAAACTTTCATAAACAAACGTCAACATAATTTGAACATCCATTTTTCTACACTTTTCTTGACCACTTGTCCTAGGTGTTTATGACATATGTTTATATTCTATGTGACATATGTATTCTAAGTGGTATATAGAAAAGGTGTAAGGGACAGCCTTCTGTAAACTCTAACCATTAACTCAGACCATCATCCTGAGCAAGGTACTGAAGATTTTTTTTCTCGGAAGTGAAAAAAAAATTTCGACTTTCCATAAAAAGTTGGTCACATGACCGGTGCTATTTGTATGGGGAGCCGAATTTTTTTTTAACTGTGAAGATGATAAAGGGGACACAGTAGCAAATTTTTTGAAACTCATATTCTCATCCATCCATATGAGATCCTCATCGACATTTGATGAAGATAAAGAAAACATTACACGTAGTGGACCCATAACAATCACTCAAAACATTAGCAGTTGCAACCAGTATATTTTTGCATATATGTGCAGGAGAGTGACAAAAAAATTAACTATAGGAGATGCTCTGAGACTTATACGCAAACAAAAAGAGATGTATTTCATAAATGGATCGAACAACGAGAATACACTCTTTTAAAACATAACAATTTAACTTATCCATCAAAGAAGTTTTTAATGCTATATATGGATATCTCGGGCCTTATACATGATTACCTAAATAAGTATGCTTACAAAAGAGATGTAAATCGACTTTTAAAAATGGAAATAATTAGAAAATTTGATGGAAATTGGTTGGGATGTACACATCATAAAACTGAAGTAAAGGAATGGTTTCTTAATTTAATGATACGAGCGGTTTTTACTTTATTGGCCCCCTCTTAAATCTGTGTGTCCCACATAATTTAATTTTTTTTCTAAATATAATCGTAAAATACTGGATTTAGATGGTAACTGAATTTGTAAACAGGGAGTTAAAATAATAGCAATGGATATTCGTGCAATAGATAACCTAAAAAGAGTTTTGTTTTATAATTAATGATCACTGATTTACTTATCCCATAAGTAAAATGTACTTAAAATCGAGAAATATTTGTTTGTGTATCAAACCACCACCAAAAGTTAAGACAGATAGGAATAGTTAAGTTAGACTTGAAAGGAATTCTCGAAAAACTAGTATGCGATGCACATAAATACGATTGCATGTACAATAAATGTCAGGAATGCAGAAATAGAAAGGTAGAGCATTTTGCGGATGAAGAGAAACTGAAAGAAAATATAACTTGGAAACAATGAAATAAACGGGAACATTACTACACCAAATTATATCAGACCAAAGAACGGATAATATGAAAGACTGTTTACAAATCAAATACAGGGATTTAAGCTTTTTTTGTGGATCTGAACCTGGATTTTGTATGTGTTTCTCACCACGGTATCACGTTCTTGTTAAGAAATGCGCACCTTATTATGGCTGCACTTCTTCTTTCAATGATGTTATCTCTAAAGATAATAGCACAATTATCTTCGGTGCCGTGCCCAGAAGCTAAAATAATGATTTAACACTATTACTATATATGCAGAAACTACAGACTATTTAATTGATGTAGATTTTACACGTGTTAGAGCCATGCTGCAGCTATATTAGTAGTATAGTTGCAGCGTGAATGGGTCGGCTCGACCGGGGAAGGACCACGCTCTCAAAGAATACCAGCGTAAAATACCAACTTAGCGCTGCTGTGTTTCGTATGGTGAGTGTAGAGAACCGGAGACTCATTTTACTGGGAAAGAGGCATTCCATCTTAGTCCTCACGGGTGACGACGTATCTGCATTTTGATTCTTTATTGAGGATAAATGTGGATGTCTATGGATCACAGCAACTACTTACCATCAGGTGGACTATGTGCTCGTTTGTACCTCTATCCTATAAAATAAAAAAAAATTGATAATAGGATTATTTTTTATTTACAAATGTAACTGCATATTGATGTAGATAATCCTGATTTACTTATTTTATCGGACATCCAGAATACTAAAACCGGGAGTATCGATGCTATATCGGTATTAACTAATTCTGAAGACGATTTGATGGACGTAAAGTTTGTCATTTTATCTGACACTCAAGAAAATCAGACAAGAAGTCTTCATATCGCATCAACTACAAGTAAATGGAACATCCAATGTAAACAATGCAGTGTTCCTATTACGGTAAAATATAACGCAAAATGCATGGCATGCAAAAAATACTATTGTGACGAATGTGTTGACGGTCTCATATATTTTGACTACATCTGCGATACTTTTTATGTAGATAGTTTTCGCAAATATTTGTTTCGTTGATTTCTTTTAACAATATAAAGTTATTCTCTTATCAAACTTTATTATGATTGTTTGCAGATTAATAGTTGGGTCCACAAGCGCATCTAAGGCTCCTAAAAGACTACGCAATAATGGTATACCCTGATGTTGATACAGTATTCACCATACAAAACTTAATATCTACATAATTATGTTCATCACCTTTAGTGGCCATGGACAAATACTCATTTTATTCTTGGTGAAAAATGTCTTGGGTGTGGAGAAAATACAAATGCTTTAAATACACCAATGCATTTTTCACTAGCCATGAATATGCATGATGTTGCAAGTTTATTAATAGGTACATTTTTTTGGTGTCACAACTGCAACTTTTGTCCTATTTACGATCATTATCCGATCGATGTATGCGAAATATGTAGATAGTCTTTCTGAAGCCTATAATATGGTGTAAAATGTTGTTTTTTGTTATTGATCCTTTTTTATTTCTATAGAAGAAAACTTTGTCTTTTTAACATTTATTATTAGATTTTAAATGTAAGCTGTGTAGAAGAATATAACTGGGATTGTATTTTGTTTTAATATTAAATATTTCTTTGAAACTTATAAAGATGCTTTTGTTCCTAGTGATCGCTTTTATGTTAATGATCATACAAATCACTAATTAATTTTATTAGTAGGTATGATTTAAAGCTAAAATAACTTATCTCAAATAATATTACTGTGATTTTATTAGCTCTAGATTTATTGAATAAAATTTTTGTTGTTGGCTAGTGATAGGGTTGCACAGGTGTGGATATTTTTGGTGGGAAGGTGTTTGGTGTGTAATTTCAGTGTGGTCCTATAGATTTATAGATGTGATTTATAAATAAAAAGACAAATGTGAAATAAAAAATTATTTATACTATATTTTTTAAATGAATAGACCAAATATGTGTCATAGCTAGCGAACATAAAAATAAAATAGTAAGTAAAACACAGGCCATAGAGATAATAAAAATGTATACTTAATAAGAAAATAATTTAATAGTTTTATCTCTCAATCATGAAAACGTGCCTATACAATTTTGAACATGTCAACTTTGTTACTGTACCAAAAATGTGATCGTATTTTGTTATTTTTTGCTTATTTGAGTTCTAAATGTAAATAATGCAGGAATTTTAAAGAAAATACCATAATCTTTTATGGTCACAATGTTTTTGTTGAACAGAGATGCTACATTTTATGTGAGCTTAACAATTGGTGTTAATTTAGACCCAAGGTAACAAAACAAGTGAGAATAATGTTTTTTTTTTTTAATTTAGAGGCCTAATTTGTGTTAATTATTGCTCTGTTTATTTTCTTTAGTTGACAGAATGGCATGTAAAATAAAATATTTGATTATTTTAAAGTGTAATTATTTAAATTTTTTTTTATCAAGTAACAAACCTGATTCTAAATCCTAATAACATTACATATTTCGGTATAGTTTTCGGCGAAACGAAGGATTTTCTTAGTTTTTGATATAGTTTCATTATTTTCAATAAACTTTCTTAACTATGCTTTTTATTTTAATGGAAAATCAAAATTCTAGTAGGAGGTACAAAAAAATTAATCCGCCCATACGAACCCATGTCCATAATTGGTGCATTATAATAAATACAATTTTAAAAGGGGGTGTACAAGAAAAGCTTGTGAGACATGTGTGCACCTCAACAAATTTAATTTCTACAAATTTAAAGGTTAAGAGGTAAAAATTATAAATAATCTCCAATATCGTTTTATTTTTACACTCTTTTGTTATATTTGTATCCTACGAGCATAACGAAAGAGACTTAATGAGATTTTAAATAATAATCTTTAATAAACTATATCACCTTTAATCTAAAAGTTAAAGTATGAAAATTCTAATTGCCCTTTCATTGTTTTAAAGTGCCATATACCTTCACTTGCTGTCACTTAAAAAATTATTAAGAAAATCATTGCAACTACTCATGCTGAAAAGAAATAGTACTTGAAATTGGTACAGATAAAAAATAAACTTGAAAAATGCCGTAGTAAGGTTAAGAAGCAGTCAGCAAGTCTTAAAGCAGCAAAAAATATCAATATTCCTACATTTTTAAATTCATTGGAAAAATTGTTACTGTTGTACTGCAAAGCTTTTATTATTAATGCAGTTTAGAGAACATATAAAGAAACGCAAAGGTTGAAGTTTTACAATTGAGGAAAAAAT